GCTTCCCAGCTTGTCTGGAGAGCAGAAATGACCTCCAGGGAGCACCAGCCATCAGGTAAGCAAGAAGAAATCCACTAGCTACCCAGAGACTGCAGTGGTGGAGGAACGCCATCTGGTGGAGACGAAAGGGCGTCTCTCGAAGTGGAAAATCTATCTTTCCCCAAAGGGAGTAGAGGGCCTCGCTGGCGGTGCAAGAGTTAAAAAGTTTTGTGCTCTCAAACTACCTAGCCAGTCACTGTGGCTTGAGTTCATCCCCTAGAACTGCCTGTTCTGTTCCCTCTTGGTCTCTGGTGAATCCTCTCACCACCCGCACCTCTGGTCTGCAACCCGGTGCTTCTATGCATAAATAAATAAAAAATAAATCTCTAAACTGAAACCTCTGGTGTGGTAAGAAGAGTGTCTCAATACAGAATATTAATTCTGCAAAAGGAAGATCTCAGATGATTTGCTCACATATTAACACATAATTTAATATGTGCCTTATTAATGACACAAATTAATTGATGTGGTTTCCCTAGTCAGATTGAGATTTGCAATTACATTCCACAAATTTGAATTCACTGTAGTTTCCCTCTAAGGAGCTCTCAATTGTGTGATCTTGCCTCAGCTATGACTGTGAAATGTTTGTTTCTCGTCAGAGATGGCTGTGGATGGACTCTCACAGAACTATAGGAGAATGAGTTTTTAAAAGTTCCAACAAGTTATTTGTTGACTGTAACATACCAGACAAGAGTCTGGGCACTGGGTTCATAGAGTCAACAAAACACACAATAACATCCCTGCCCTCACAGAATACACAGGTTTGTGTGGGTGGAGGCAGATAAGAAACAAGTAAAAATGCGAATGAGGTCAGAGTGAACAGAGAGGGAAAAGGGTTTTTGGGTGGGATGGTCGGAGGTTATCAGGTCATACTTGAGCTAGTTTTCTCATGATGAAATTCATTCGTAAAACAATCACTCCAGAGTATGTATTTAGATGAAATTTTTTCAAAACTCTCGAGGCTACTTTGGTTTTTCTTTCAAAGCCAGTGGGTAACTAATGAAGAAAAGCGGGTTTAGCTCCAGGCAGCATAACGCAGCTTTCCTATCACTTCTTTGACCCTAAGCATTTCTGGGGTACTACTGAAAACTAACCAAGTCTCAAAGGGCATTGTCAATCCTAACATTTTGGTGGGAAACTGTTCAGTAAGCTAGGAAGAGAATTGAGTTCAGAAGGGGCCCTCCCTGGTGGCGCAGCAGGTTAAAGCACAGCACTAAGAAGCTAAAGCCACTTCTGCATGAGTTCAATTCCCGCCCCAATGGTGACCCACATGGCGTGGCAGACCTCTCCTGACACATGGCGTGGCAAACCTCTCCTGAGCTGCCCGCTGCTCCCCTCAGCAGTGTACTTCACCAGTTGGCCTGTTCTGCTCCCCACTCTGTCTCTGGTGAGTCCTCTCACCGCCCCTGCACCTCTGGCCTGCACCCTAGTTCTGTATGCATAAATAAATCTTAATAAAAAAATGTTATCAGCAATATTTGCTTTAAACTTTCTATTAAAGTAGAAAATAGGCACCATTTCTGCAGAACAGGGTAAGCATAGCAAGTATGATATGACATGGATATGGATGTTTTTGTACAACTACCTGGGGAAAAACCATATCAAAAATGCTTAACTTTATCTCCAAGATGGTTAAAAAAATAGTGAGTCCTGGGGGCATCATACAATCTGTATCAAACATATTCTGCAGCTAAATATCTCCTCTGTCCAGTACAGAAATTAACAACACCTGTAATTATTTCTCATTAGCACTCCTTAGCTGGGAAGATCCAAACTGCCAAATGAGGAATGCTATCTATCGTTCCTTAACCGTGACAGGCTTGCCACAAGTGGTTCATGTTTTTTTCAATAAGTTTTTTCTAATGCTACCATCATTTATTCAATATTATAAAGAAATTATCACGATTTACAATAATCATGTTTATCATGAAAAAAATATTTTTCCTGGCTATTAGGAGAAACACTATGCTATACCCAGCATATGACTATTACAGCTAATATGACTATTCTTATTTTTCTTTGTAAGCATACATAAGTGGACAGCTAATACAATTTCAGAATCAAATGGCCAGTCTTTTAGGACTTTTCCATACTCCTAAAAACCACATTCTTCTATCATTAAAAATGTGTCATGGGGCCTCCCGGGTGGCGCAGCGGGTTAAAGCACAGCACTGAGAAGCTAAAGCCACTTCCGCATGAGTTCGATTCCCGCCTGCCCTGGAGGTGACATGGCGAGGCAGACCTCTCCTGACCCGCCCACTGCTCCCCTCAGCAGTGTACTTTGTAGATCTGCCTGTTCTGCTCCCCACTCTGTCTCTGGTGAAGCCTCTCGCCACCCCTGAGCCTCTGGCCTGTACTCCAGTTCTGTATGAACAAATAAATAAATCTTAAAAAAAAAAAAGTGTCATGGGGCCCTCCCTGGTGGCACAGAGGGCTAAAGCACAGCACTAGGAAGCTTAAGCCACTTCCGCATGAGTTCGTTTCCCACCTGCCTGGGAGGAGATCCACATGGTGCAGAAGACATCTCCTGACCCGCCCGCTGCTCCCCTCAGCAGTGTACTTGGTCAGTCTGCCTGTTCTGCTCCCCACTCTATCTCTGGTGAAACCTCTAACCCCCAACATCTCTGACCTGTATCCCAGTTCTAAATGAATAATTAAAAAAAAAAAAAAAGTGTCATGGCGTTGATGATGGGAAACCCACAGGGATTACAATTGAGATGAAAAAAAAAAATGTACAAAATGATGCAAAGATAAACTATTCTTAAAAAAAAAAAGTGTCATGGCCCTCCCTGGTGGTGCAAGGAGTCAAAGTGCAGCACTGAGGCTACCTGCAGCTACTGCAGCATGAGCTGAATCCCCAGCCAGGGAGCTGACCCACGTGGTGCAGCAGGCCTCCCCTGACCCGCCCACTCCACCACTCAGCAATATATTTCAGCAGATCTGTTTTGCTCCCCACTATCTCAGGTGAATCCTCTCACCCCATGCTTCTCTGGCCTGCATGCCTGTCCTTGTATACATAAATCAATCAATATTGAAAAGAAAAAGTGAGTCGTCCTCATTTATCTTCTACCACTCCTCCCCTTCAATTGGCTGAGGTGCAAAATAATTCCAAAACCAATGCAAAATACTATGAAACACACAAGATGAAGTTGAACCAAAATACCATGTAGTATTTTAATTGCAAATATATTTATTACAACTTACAGATTAGTTAAGTTATATACACAAATATAATTTTAACTATAAAATTCCAACAAATTGGTTACATGTAAATCATTGGATCTGTAGAAGCCAACTGAGAATCTTCTAGTTCCTAACTTCACCTTCCTTAAATTATAAAAAAATAAAATCTGATAGTTTTGATTTCAAGTTAAAGATGAAGAGGTGTTATATTTCAACACTCAGAAAAGGAAATCTTACCTGTCTAACGAGGCGTTCACGTGCTACAAGGATACCGAGCACCGCTGCAAGACTCTGAACGCGTGAAGTGTTCAATGAGACGTCCAAGGATTTTCTTTTTGATTGTGGGGGCTTTAAGTTTGCTCTAAAAACTAAATTGGGGATGACATTTCTAAGAGTTTTGCTTTTCTCCTCCAGTCCAACTTTAAAATGGTCCCTTCTGTCCTTATCGCCTGGCTGACCACTTCTTTTAAAGGAGACCAGGAAGTGGGGGAATTCTTGACCTAGCATTTATTCATTTGGGAGTGAGGCTGGAATCCTCAGAAACTAGTTTCCAAAACCCAGTGAGTGTAAAGCTATCCCATCATTTTCAAATTTGCAGGTCCTAGGTTTCAAAACACAACCTAAATCTCCGAAATAATATGCGTGCATGAGGCTCCTTGAAGAGAATGTTCAAAATGATCTTTTCAAGGCCACAATACCTTCTTTCAATTGACATAGCTGGTGCTTAAAACTCCTGTTTCCATGGTGTTCTACCAAGACTAAATGCATCTCTGAGGACCTAAGGTGATGCACAAATGCACTGAATAAGGACTCTGCAAACACCGGACCAGCTTTTATGATGCTGCACTCTGTGTTTAGGTGAGTACATGGAACACTGGAGGCAGTTCTTAGAGCAAACCAGACAGAAATAAAATGACCAGGTAGATTAAAACTGAGGTAGTACGTCTACAAGCACTTCTGATGACGAATTAGTTCCCACAATGAAGCAAGTTCAAAATTAAGAGGTTATCTCTTCTCCTGCTTTTCATTGCTTGAGGCAGGAGGCACGTGGAGTAGAGTAGGACAGGACTTTTACAGGGCGGGTTAACATTCCCTCGACCTAACAGATGCACGGAATTAAATAAACCTAACAAATTAAATAAGCCAAGCACAACCAGTCACTGCAAAAACTTCAAATAAAATTTGGGGCTAAAGCTATTAAGACCTTGTAGCTGCTACATCTACCGCTCTAATGCTTCCCGGGCATGCAGACCTGTCAGAACCTCTCTCCTCGAGACAGCACACAATAAACTTGGACATAGTGACTGAAGTCTATTATTCTACATTTCAAACTGGAAAATTCAGAACTGTTGTTTTCCAAGCTAACAGTGTCACCCTGACAGGTTTTTGAAAGTGACAGTGCTGAGGCATCACATTAATAACACTGGTTTTCTATATTAAGAGTATATATAACAAAAGCAAATCACTCTAAGATGTCGCCTACCTTTTCTTAGGTAAATTCTAGGCCTTTAAACTAAAAATAAATAAATAAAAGCCTACAATGCAATTATTACTTGCTGGGGTCTTTTACAACCATTTCTACCTGTTGAGATACAAAGAACCATTCAACCAGAAACTACAACACACAAGATTCCTCACCAAAGGACAGTTTGTGTAGAAATTAAATATATATTAGATGCTATTTGGCAGAAAGATGCAGCCTTCCCCGTAGCAGCATACTGCACACGCAGGTTTTGTGGCAGTCTTTGTAACTATCTTAGGTAGAACTTCAATCAAGCAATAAAAACCCACCACACAGTTTTAATCAGTCATTTTGAGGAGGGAAAAAAAGTGACACAAGATAATGGATGTAGGCTGGTGACATATACAAGGTGATTTTCTGAGCCTTAGGATAGAAGTGCCTAATAAATTACTGAGATGGGGAAAAAAATAGAAAGAGCATAAAAGTCCATTAATTGCAGGTTGCGGAGAGGGCATGAGGACACGAGTCCAGCGTCTACTCAGGGACCCATAAATTAGAAATGAAAATGGGCTTTGAACCCCATAAATATTGTTCCCCAAGAAAATAAATTTTGAAAGTGCAAAATTACACCTAGAAAGTCCACTTTTCACCTTATGAACTAAATGGCATTCAAAAACATATCCCATAAATAAAGGCCATTATCAGGACCTGGCTGCAAACCTGGATATTTCTGGATGGGACTGTTGCAAAAAACATAAACAAACTAGGCCATGCATCCAAGTTGCATAGTCTCTAAAATAATCAAAGGACAGCTGCCAACTTTTGTTTGTAAAAGAAACCTCTCAAGTAAGAGGTAGCGCCTCAAGGCCGGAGGCTGTCCCGTCACCTTTAACACGGCTTGAAAACATTAAGTCCTGCGCAGCATGTTTCCTGGAGTCTATTAAATATTCTTTCTCTGTGCTCAAATGTCAAGCAATATCCAATAGCATCTTCTGTCTCTTGAATTCGTTTTTGGAACCTGCATCCATCCCGTGCAAATTCTTCCCATGGTCCTTTGCGATCCTCATCACCACTTATATAATACTCAGTGACTTCCTCAAGGAAGGTTACCTATAAAGACAAAGATGCAATTTATTTTGGGACAATGCAAAGTAAAACTGTTTAACTGATAGCATTCCATGATGAAAAACAGGACTATTAATTTTCTAAGTAACAGATTACCACAAATTTAATGGCTTGAAAACATCTGTCACAATAGACTAATTTCAATCATTCATCATCATACAATCATCAAGGAAATTAATCCTTTCAGTATATCAAATCTCTACGAGTATTTGACAGCAACTGCAACAGAAATTTTTAAAAAAGAATAAATTCGGACTGAATGGCATTTTAGACTGAACTGTGGGGAAGGCTGCTTTAATTTCACACAGACCGCGTCCCAACCCCCCACCTGTCACCTTGCTGTTTCTCCTCATCTCGCTTGGCTTTGGTGTTAATAAAATGAATCCAGCTGGGGAACTGTAATTTTCCTGTTATTAATCCTTACATTTTGCTTTAATCTTGAGGGGAACACTGTTCATGATACTCTTCCCCAAAATGTTTCCAAACAAGTATTTTGGAAACACATTCCTAAAGTTAATATTTTTATTATAGCAACAAAGTTTTTTTTTTTAATATATATAACAATTTTTTTTCCCATCTCAATTGTAATCCCCGTGGGTTTCCCATCACCATAATCCCGTGCAGGCCCCCCCGGTTTTTGATCCCATTCCCCACTCCACCCCCACAAAATGTCTCTGGTATATGGTTGTTCATTATTCTTGTTATTTTCTCGCCTGGTCCATTGTACTCCTGCTATGAGTGAAACCAATCCGGTATTTCTTTCTCTTTCTGGCTTATCTCACTATGCATGATCTTTTCCAGCTCCATCCAAGTATAGCACCAAAGTTTTAAGAGGTTCTTCACTTATTTTCTATTCTTTTTCATTTTTTTTTTAAAGTTCACCTTTCCCTACTTTCCAGTTTTTGAATCATGAACCTGTAACTATTATTCTTACATATTCTTGTAGTCAAAATCCTCTGTATTCCTTTAAAAATGCTACCAGTGTATCTATACAATTGTGATTCAGTCCCATTTAATCTCTACCTAACTTCTAATAAAGAAGTTTCTAAGATCACAAACTCCAAAAGTAAATATTGTACTTGCTTTAAACTATGTTCAATAGTTACATCAGCTGGTCCCACTGTGGCCTCCTTACTTTCATTCCCTTTACATCAGGCCAAGGAATGCCCCCGAGGACAATTAGGAGGGATGTAACACCTTACTAGATATTGCATTCTAGTGTAACTCATTCACGTGTCACTGAGATAAATAACAATAACATAATAATAATAATAATGGTGTTTTCTACATGCTCTTTTCAAAGCACTATATCACTTTTATCTCACATAACACTCATCCATCCTCAAGGCTGGCTAGAAAAGGTCTCTACAGGGCAGATAGAAGGCTCATTGCCATCCCCACTGTACAGTTAAGGAAGCAGAGGCAGAGCGGTTAACGCACTTGTGGGAATCGATCAGCTTCTATGCAGTGCAAGCAGGTTTCAGACACCAGAGTCTGGCTCTAACGTACAGAGTCTGCACGTTAGGCTCCAAAACAAGGCATGTTAAACTCGAAATCCTGAAAGCCTCATTTTAAGGATTAGGCATCACCCCTTCTTCTCATTTATGTAAAGTAAGGCAAAGCTGTGACTTTAAACATGACCTTTATAAATGCTACTTCCAGTTCAGTCAAGTCTCAGCATTTACTTCACTCTCATTTCCACTCAATGAACAAGCTGCACAGAGGAATGAGTCTGGTAAGAGGTCCTGAATTGTGAGAACTACCATTAAAAAGTGAGGCGATGAGGCCCCTCCCTGGTGGAGCACCAGGTTAAAGCACAGCACTAGAAGCTGTCCGCAGCCTGCTGCACGAGTTCCATCCCTGGCCAGGGAGCTGACCCACATGGCACAGATCTCTCCTGACCCACCTGTTGCTCCCCTCAGCAGTGTATTTCAGTAGATATGCCTGTTTTGCTCCCCACTGTCTGGTGAATCCTCTCACCACTACTGCACCCCCCCCCGCAACTCTGACCTGTACCCCCCAGTTCTGTATGTATAAATAAATCTTTTTTAAAAAAAGTGAGGCAATGAATCTTAAAAAAAAGGCAATAAATTATTTTGTTTATCTAGCTCACTTAAATCATGCACTAACTCTTACTTTAGCTACTTTTATTACTATTCCGATCAGATAAATGAGTCTAGTCAAGGCCATGAGAAGCAGCTACCTCTAAGCCAGGCGGTCTCCCCAAACCTCATGGTCTAAGCACTCAGGCGATGTAGGTCTCCAGATGCCAAGTGTTCCTTTCAAGGCCCACTTTGCTTCCTACCACTTACTCTAACCGGGTCACTTTATCAGGAATAAAAAGGTAGAGAAAAGTTCTTTTATCATGGCATTAGTAAAAAAGTATTACCTAAAACAACTTTTAACATGACTTATTCTGCTCTTACAGGTTAAGACATATGATTCCCACCATTTAGACGCCTTTTCTAGCCCAGGCACAGTTTCCAAGTATTAAGTGGGCCATATGGAACCAAGAGATTATGGCACTGCCCACATGAATCACCCTGATACTGCAGAGCCTGAGATCAGCAATAATTCACCCACTTCTTTCTCTTTCCAAGCAACAGCACAGAAACCTGCCCTGCAAGAGACCCCGTGTTTGGGGGAGTGCTCTTCAACTCCAATTGGTAACTTTAACTGAATAAAAAAAAAGGGAGGGAGGAGGGCAACAGTGGCAACTCAAAAGACTCCCAAAGTAAGACTACTTTGCCATTGTGGTGAAATAAAAATGCTCCACAAGGAGACAAACTAAATTGTTCACATTTGACTGTTAACCTGCGGCTGGCCAGGGGTGACTACCATTGTATTTTAAAAACAAGGCAATACTACTTCTGACCTGTTTTTTCACTGTCAATATACCTGTCAGAAAGTTCTTTAAGGCTGAAATTACTATTTTCTTCCACAGCAAATACCAGATAAATCTGACCTGCCCCTTGGTACCAACAATTTAGAATCTAGTAGGCAAAAACGAAAATATTGTTACCATGTGCATGGAGGGTCTGATGAATCTGAAAATTCTATGGCTCCAACAGAAACTTCCAAATCTCAAGAACAATTAAAGGTGTGTATTAAAAAGGCATACTCTTTTCTGGTTCTTAAGAAGGGTGAAAAGTTAAGGCTGTAGAGAAGCAGCCCACAGCTGCCAACCCGAGTGCAAACAGTATTTTGCTGCTAACATCTCCACTGGCATCTTCCATCTGGACCCAAACTCTATGTGAGGAGAAAGGGGTGGGGGCAGGGAGATCACTTCTCAACTCATGTATATGAATTTAGAGGCCTTTCTAAATAGCATGCACTAACCACCTCCAAAACTGTCACGCGCCTCTATTTTACTATATCCAAACGTCAGTACAAATTATTAGACAGGTAAAAGAAACAAACCTTTTTTCTCTTGATATGCACGTGTCTTTCTCCAGAAAGAACCCCACCCTGTACCAAGTCCGAACTTTCACCTTCGTGGCTCCCTAATAGCTGAACCTTACAGGAATGTACAGTGTGACACTCAGAAATGGCCACAGTGGACTCAGACGACCTCTCTGAGACACCACAGCCTTTCCGCTTGTTCCCGGATGTCTGAAAAGGAGCCTTAAAATTTAAAAGGTTGTAGGGGTCATCGGAGTTACAGAAAGAGTTCCACAGTCTGAGACTCTCTGCTTCATCTGCACTGGAGTCCCAGTCATCTTCTTCCCCAGAATTGGGGCTAGGGCACTGGGGAAGGCGTCCAGTCAGAGGAGAATTCTCTGCATCAGATTTGTCAAATAAATTCTCTGAGTCACAAGGGTGTCCAGGGACAATTCTGGCAGCAGTCTGGATTGTTGCTGTAAAGTTCTGGGGATTATAAGGATCTACACTGTAGAAAGAGTTCCAAAGGTGAAGCCCTTCAGAATCTTGTTCAAGGTCTGATTCTGAGAGTGAGCTGTCACTATCAAAGCCATCATCCTCAGCTTCCTCATCCCAGTCTTCACCCTCTGAATCAGAACTTGTGTCCAAGTCACTGGATGCACCCCCCAAAATGTAATCAATCAACTTGTTACTGCATGCTGGCCTGGCCGAAATGGGGAGGTCCTCTTCTAGGTCTGAGTCAGCTACACTTACTTGGTCTTCATCAGTGGGCTCTCTGGCCATAGGTATCTCACAAGAAAGACAGTTATCCGAAAGGTCCTGTTTTCCCAAAGCAGGTGGAACCTCTTTGGTCAACAATTCTATTTTCTCCTCGGTGGGTTCCTGGGTGGTTCTGGGAAGGGCTCCAGAAGGAGTAACAAACCCTGTCGAGCTCTCTCCCCCATGTTTCAGGTCCAGGCGGAGAAGGTTGTGTTCCTCCTCCAGGCTGTGGTAGCCATGATCTTGGTCAGGGGTGGGTAACGCTTGCACTTTGCTAGCCTGCTGAAGGAATTCCAGTCGTTTCATGCGAAGATGGTGGATTTCCGGCAGGCCTTCTCTAGAGAGTGGTGGGCATCCCTGCCATGAGGCTCCAGTGATTTCTGCATTTAGAGGCTGGGGATGAGAATAAGCCTCAGTCAAGCAGCTGCTCTCCGCGCTGAGCGCCTGGAAGTCAACTAGCTCACCGCCTGCCAAGCTGTTCTGATAGCTGAGCTCTGCCCCGGGCAGGCAGTCGAGATAGGAAGGGCTCAGCAAATAGGAGACTACGCTGAAATTGCTTAAGCGCTGAATGTTTAGAGGCCCGGAAGGCGAAGAGCCAAGTTCTTGGTCAGAGAACAGACGTGCTTGAAGGCTACTGGGCAATAGTTCCATCCCCCACAGCTGCCGCTCCAGGAGAAAAGCCTGTGCAGCAGAGTCCAAAGCTCTTCCCTTGGCTTTCGGCTGCAATTCGAGATCGCTGGGCGAGCACTGCCAGTGGATCCCCTCCTCCAGCCAATCAAGGGGGCAGGCAGCCGAGCCGTCCGAGGGGTCCAGTGCCAGAGAACTCAAGGATTTCTGCACCTTGGGGGCGGCTGGCTCCTCCCTTGCCCGAAGGGCTCTTAGGGCGCTGTAGCCTCCAGCGAAATCTAGCCATCTGGTCGGGATCATCCCCCCGAAAAGCTGGCTCCAAATCAGCAGCTTCTGAAGCAAGCTGGGGAGTGGTGCAAAGAGCTGGAAAAGCAGCCTCATCCAGTAGCCGGTTCGAGTTTCGGACTGGGGAGAAATCAGTTTTGGGTCGGCAGGATGTTCCAGGACTGGCGCTGTGGGGAACTTGGAAGAGACCGGTTGCGAGCGCCGACGGAAGAAGGGCAGCTGGAAGCCGAAGCCCGCCAGAAAGGCTGACCGTTTCCGCGATCCGTCTGCTCCCGGCTCCATGTCCTCTCTTCTGGGCCGTCTCACGGCGAGGCTCGCGGAGCTCGGCGGCTGGGAGGGATTCGGAGAGGCCTAAACAGTTTCGGCCTGGCCAAGCTGCGGAAACGGGGTCCCGGGCCGACACCACGACCAGCAGAGGCGCCGCAGAGGGAAGCGGCTTGGGCAGCGGGCGGCAGACCACAGTCCCGAACAGCGCGCGCGGGCCGCGGCGGCAGGGGTCACATCCATCCTGGCGGGAAGGAGGCGTCCTAGTTCGCCTCGGGCCTCGCCACCATAGAGGGGCGTCCTCCCGCGGCGGCGGCGGCGGCGGCGGCGACTTTCCGGAAGAGACGGGCGGTTGAAAAGCCCCTGACGGCGCGACCCCGGAAGGGTTGGGCCGACAGGCGCCGAAAGTGGAAGCGGAGCTCAAGATGGCCGCAAGGCTAGCGCGGAAGCAGGATACTCACGGGCAACGCGACCAGAAGCCAGGCGCCGGCTACGCCACCAGCC